AGTTTGTAATTAATGAAAAAAGTGATAAAGAGAAAAAAAATATATAAATAATAAAAGATTACAGCTGGCACAAGTGTTTATCACTACGTATTGAGAATTTAGTTGTCTAGTTTCAAGGTGATATATATTTTGTTTTTAAAAAAACTCAGGGGTGTGTAGTCGAGAATTCGATAATAAGTTAGAAAGATATTTATTTAATTTCCTATTTTAATTTATAAAAGTGATAAGAATATAAATTTGAGAGTTTTTCATTTTTTTCAAGTACGTCAAAGAGTCTAGAATATAATTTTTATGTTTATAGTGTTTAGTGATATAGAAGATAAAAATTAATAATAAATATGACATTAACTATAAGTAAGAAAGTTACGAGTGAAGATAAGGGTGAAGTCATGAAGATGATGTGAGTTGATATAATTATAGTTAGGGGAAATCGAAAATTTATTTCTAAGACTCGTGGACATCCACAATTACTTTCATAATATATATTACCTATATTAATTTGGCACAATACTTAAAAAGAAAGTATATTACTAAACTAAATTTATAATAATATTTTAGAAATCTAAAATTTAACTGATAATTTTTTTTTATGTAATTTACTTACTATTATAAGTTGAAAATAATAAATAATAAATCTCTCTTTTAGATTTATTAAATACTCATCTTTCGAAAAAAAAAATACCGATTTTTCCTAAAAGCAACAGAATTTTTTTTTAAAAAAATTGAAATATTATTTTGTTCTCCCGTAACATCTATTTATTCCCCACCTCAGTCCCTTTCTTTTCTCATTGCAACTTAAACTCATTCTTCCTAGAGCAAAATTTTCCCTTAAGCGCAAACACACAAACATTAAGTTTATAAGTGAGCCAAACATCTCTCAATTTTTTTATTTTTTTTAAAAATGTCAATTTTGTGGTTCTCCATAATTGGTGTGTTTTGTATACAATTTATTAATTGTGTCCATGGAAATGAACAAGGATGGATTGAAGCTCATGCAACTTTCTATGGAGGTGGTGATGCTTCCGGAACTATGGGTATGCTAAGTACTTTCGAGCTAGAATTTTTAGTTGATGAATTTTAAATTACTTAAATTAAAGTTATTGAGTTATGTCGAACAAAGATTTATATTAATTGTTATAATTCAGGTGGAGCATGTGGTTATGGGAATTTGTACAGTGAAGGATATGGTACAAACACAGCAGCATTGAGTACAGCACTGTTCAATAATGGTTTGAGTTGTGGATCTTGCTTTGAGCTTAAATGTGTGGGTGATTCGAAGTGGTGCCTTCCAGGCTCTATAGTGGTAACTGCTACTAATTTTTGCCCACCAAATTTTGCCCTTCCGAATAACGCTGGTGGGTGGTGCAATCCTCCATTGCACCACTTTGACCTGGCTCAGCCTGTTTTTCAAAAAATGGCTCAGTACAGAGCTGGGATTGTCCCTGTTGCTTACAGAAGGTAAGAGCCTCATTTTAATCTAGATTACTTCGAAAAAATCTCAATTCATGTTATAGAATTTGGATTTTTTTTTTGAAATTTATCTTCAAATATCATGAGATTTGAATCTGATTTTCGAATTCCCAAAACTGGCTTAGTATAACTTTCACTCACCCAACTTCAAATCTTTTTACACTCACAAAACTCCAACATCGCCCCAAGTTAGATGCATCTTCCATCACACTTTTAGGTTTCTAACAACCTCGAAAATTCATTTTTAGAAGTTTGAAATTTCAACAAACTCGAGCTTAACTATTGCAGTTAGTTAAGTCAGTTAATAAAGGTCAAAGCAGAAAAAAATTGAAATAAAAACTAATTCACGTAAATTCAATAATTTTTTCGAATATATACATGTATAATTTGATCATCACACCTTTTTGTGTTCTACCCGCTCAATTTTCAGTGCCTTGTGAATTGTTCCTTAGTTAGTTGGGCAGAAGCTTACTGCCGGGTATATCTCGTGACAAAGATTGGGCCCCTACTAGTAATATTTATATCGGTGTTCGGTTATACATGCATTCGCACTTGCCAATAATAAAAAAAACAATTTTAATTTTGTTGGCATTAATGCAGAGTACCTTGCCAGAGAAAAGGCGGAATGAGATTCACAATGAACGGTCACTCCTATTTCAATTTAGTGCTGGTGACGAACGTGGGAGGTTCAGGAGATGTAAATGCAGTTTCGATTAAAGGTTCTAGAACAGGGTGGATAGCAATGTCACGCAATTGGGGTCAAAATTGGCAGAGCAATGCATTACTTGATGGTCAAATTCTATCATTTAAAGTAACTACAGGTGATGGCCGCACTGTTTTCTGCAACAATGCTATCCCTGCTGGATGGTCATTTGGGAAAACTTACACAGGCGCACAGTTTACTTGATTCCTTCAATTTAGTGTTGCAACTAAGACTATTACTACTAGTTAATTAGTGTGGATGATGGGAAGAGCTTATTTTTTAAAGTGGCTCTAAACCCTTTTTTTTTTTTTTTGTTAAAAGTAAATTTAAGATATGAAGTTACGAGTTTGTGTCCTTGTGGTCATTTTTAGGTAAAGGACATAAATTAGGGGCAGTGGTGGTGGATTTTATTGTCACCACCCGCCACATTACTTCATTATTATAGGGGATATTAGTTTAGAGGTAAAAGCTACTGTTCTGGTTTGATGTTATTTATTGTGGTTCGTATGAAATTTAAATTATGACTTGGAAAAGAGTTTATTATTGTGGTCCTTTTATTTTATATTCCAATGTTATGTGTCCTAATTTTTTATTTATCAGAGTTGAATTTTACTCTTCTTTTGAAACACAAATTAAAGCCTTCGGTCACTAGTAATTTCTCCGTCTTTTTATGATAAGCTTTAACATAATGTTCTGATTATTTCGAATCCCACGTGAATTGAGGGTGAGGGGATAAATATTGCTTATGTTGTTAGATGCTGATATTCAAAATACAAAAGAAATTTTAGCTTCATATAAAAGAATTGCACTATTATTTGTGGGCTTACCTAGAGTGAAAGAGAGCTCCAAAAAACGCACTCAACTTTAGGCACTAATTTATGTGCAACGTGATTGAATAAACTTTTCAAATTTGATAAATAGATTCAAAATTTAAAAACTAGACATGAATTAGATATTGACATAGAAATTGTCATTGTCATAATTTTTGTAATACTACATAATTTTTTCCTGTGAAAATAACAAATGAATTAGATATATTTCCGACATATAAAAATGATGATATAATTGCTAAAATATTAATCAATAAACTATTTAAAATAACAATGCCACTTTGTTCGATGGAGAAACACATTCAATGTGAGAAAGATTGTTAATATAGTATGTTGAAAGATCATATTAAAGAGTAGTGTACCAAAATTTATGTTCAATTTTACTTTATTTAACTATAATTTGATAATAATGTTTTTTAGACTAACTTTGTGACAGTATATTATACTTTCTTATGAATTTTTTCTTATTTGATAATATCGTATGAGATTAAAGAAATTATAATAATGTTTAAAATTACAAAAAAACCATATTATATGTCAAACTAAAAGTTTCACTTTATTTCAAATTATTTTTTTATATCATAACAAAAATGTGACCTAAATTTTTTCAAGTCGACATTTGTTATGTTATTCCACATAGGGAATCCACAGTGAGATATAGAAGCCAGAAGTGTGTCCTTTTCTTGTTCTTGATTTGTGTGGTGATTTCAGATTTCTAAATCCTTCTTGTCTCTTTCTTCTCTACAAAATAAGAATTTTTATTATTTTTAACGAAATGTCAGCATGAAAAGAACTACTCAACTCAAATTTAGACAGGCAACAAAATAACTTTTTAAGTAACTTTTTCTCAACAACTTCCCTTTCCTTATTCATATAAAAGCTTTACGTGTCAACTTTAACATGATTCACATATTTCTAAGGAATTAGGTTATAAATAAAGTGCTTTGATTACCTAGAAATTGTGGCAGCATGTGCAAAAAACTTGAAAAAACTGCTCTTATTAAACGGGCTGCTGTAAGGTCCAACAAACGGAGTAGAACACTTTCTAGCCCATTAACGATAACGAAGAAGCTAATAATTGGACTGGGCCTGATCTGAAGTGGCCCAATTCCTAAAATTGGCCTATATAGCCACTTTTTGTCAAGTTTTAGCCACTACTAAAAGATTAGCCACTTTTAGTGGAGAAAAAAAAAGAGAGCATTTGGACAGCAATATATTAATCTAAAATATGGAAATACTCTAGTATAATGTGCTGAATTTTGAAACTTTTACGAGTGAAACTCCATCGCAATATGTTAGCATTCGAACCCTCGGAGTATGCAACTTTAAGAGACATGATTTTTTCCATAAAAAGAATCTCGATGTTTGAAACAACATAAATTTTCTGAACTCCCGCTTATCAAAATCGTACCACCATACGATAGAGTTATTCCATGTTAAACTAAAATATTTTTATTCTTATATTATATGTCGCGCTAAAATATACTTCCAATGCATAAAAAAGGACTCATCCCACCCAATTTTTCTCAATCAAGTCATAGTAATAGATATATTTTTTGAGTCAAACAATTGTCACATCCTCATTGGATATCAATAATTCCACTTGGCAAAGATCTTCCCATTAACAGATTCCCCAATTTCCATTTCCTCCTCTAAAAATCCAATATATATCTACGTGGCAATTTTTTGGGTCCCTCCTCATCTTCTCAAACCAACAGAAATAAAGAAACAGATTTGAAGATATAGAAGCAAAGATAAGAGATAAGGCACATTTCTTCTCATTGGTTCTTATCAAATTCACAACTCAATCCAACCGTTGGATTCCAAAAAATCTTAGTGACTCTTCAAGATTGAACCAGAGCCACAATTGTCCCAAAGAAATGGCAATACAAATGCATATACAAAACATACAAAGTTTTCAACTCAGCCTTAAAACTACATTGCCATTTCTCCCAATAATCACCAACAAACTCTTCAAATTGGAAAAAATGGCAACCGTGACAACACAAGCTTCCGCCGCCATTTTCCGGCCGTGTGCTTCAAGAACCAGGTTCCTTACTGGATCATCTGGAAAGTTAAACAGGGAGGTCTCTTTTAGACCTTCAACTTTTTCGTCTTACAACTCATTCAAGGTTGAAGCTAAGAAAGGTCAATGGCTTCCTGGCTTAGCCTCTCCTGATTATCTTGATGGCAGGTACGTCTTAATATTTACTTTTGCGTATAAATAGTAAATACTAATACTAATACTGGAATGGTTACTTGTGTTTAGTCTCCCAGGAGACAATGGTTTTGATCCATTGGGACTTGCGGAGGACCCAGAGAACTTGAAATGGTTCATCCAGGCTGAACTGGTGAATGGTCGTTGGGCTATGTTGGGTGTTGCAGGGATGCTGTTGCCTGAAGTTTTCACTAGCATTGGGATACTTAATGTGCCCAAATGGTACGATGCTGGAAAATCAGAGTACTTTGCATCATCATCCACCCTGTTTGTGATCGAGTTCATCTTGTTCCACTACGTCGAGATCAGAAGGTGGCAAGACATTAAGAACCCAGGAAGTGTCAACCAAGACCCTATCTTCAAGAACTACAGCTTGCCTCCTAATAAATGTGGATACCCTGGTGGTATTTTCAACCCACTCAACTTTGCACCAACTGAAGAGGCCAAGGAGAAGGAACTTGCTAATGGTAAGTGGATGTTCACTTTCTCTAAATGACTTTATATACCTGAACCAGGCTAATTATTTTAGGTGGATAATTTGCAGGGAGATTGGCTATGTTGGCATTTTTGGGATTTATAGTGCAGCACAATGTGACTGGGAAGGGACCTTTTGACAACCTTCTGCAGCACCTCTCTGACCCATGGCACAACACCATCATCCAAACACTCAGCAACTAGAAAACCATCATCAGAAACTTAATTGAATATATATTGTTACCTTGTAACCATGTTATGAATTTTGATCAAGAATAGAGCTTTGTGGTAAAACAAGGAACCTTCCTTTAATGTACAGCGTTTCTTATTCGTGTTATTCCTACTAGATCATCAAAAGAATGTGATTTTGCGCTCTTGTTAGCATATAAAGGCAAAAGCCTTTTCTTTTATTTAGTTTGATTTGCATCTTAACTGAAAAACAAATCCCAGCAAAGTGAAACTGGTCTTTTATTCACATCTCATATATGAACAAGCTCTTATCCTACTTTCACCATGAGGGGTGTCAGGGTTCGCAAAGCAAAACAACTATACATATTCAAACATAATTATCTATCAACAACCACTGCACCTGTAAACCTCACCCACGATCACAGATTATTCTACTCGAGTAGTGTGACTTATCTCGAGTGTCTAATCACTGGAAGTTGCTGGCTGCAGGAAAGAGGAACAAGTGAGACAGAGTAAGAAATGTTAGACCAGATAGGAGTAATTAAATGACAGTATATTTGGAGATTGTGGCAATTTGTATAATGGAGTAAATATAAGACGTGCATTTAGCATATTCAACTATCAAAGACAACAAGGATATATGAATGGAGCAGATAAATTTCATTTGTAAGATGGACAATTAAACCTTTTTTTTCAATAATTAACTGTCAGAGTGGTGAAATTAACCGAGAACGGAAACAGATGAAATTACCTGCGCATATGATTTTTCATCAAAATCTGGAACAGCAACGGCATCGACTGCACTATAATTGACTGAATCCACAGACCTTGTTAGGTTAAAGTTTCTTTGAAATGCATAATCCATCAAATATCCTTTCAAATTGGCATCACTCTGAGGATCCAACATGTTCCTTTCAAGCAGATCAAGATCCTCATTGGGGTTGTATGAGTACTGCTCACTTAGTTGCTGTCTCAAGCATGCTATACTAGTTAGATCATTCAAGACACCGTTATCTAGCATTGCAGTTGTGTCCTGTCTTGCTTGATCAACTTCTCCAGAGCCCTGAACATGAGAAGATTCAGCAACTGAATTATCTCCAAAGTATCCCATATTTCTACAGAGAAACAATGGTTCACACGATGTTAGCGATTACCAAAATCCAGTAACTTCAACCGTGAAATACTAAGATCATAACAGGGTGAACGACATAAAGATGCTGAAAAAATATGGTCTAATACTCACTCCTGGGGTAGAATGTTTGGAGTCTGAGGGAATGGCATGCGCAGGATTTTATTTTCTGGATGCCACTGATGAGTATTCCCATCTAGTTCACTGTTCATCAAAAGATGCAAATGCGTCGTCTTCTGGAGCTGTTATATGACATTCGAATGCAGAAGCATTCAGTTATTTTCACATTTTACACTGTTTTTCCGAAACAACCCATATAAGAGACTAAAAGAGAAACAGAAGGGAAGAAAGGCAGAAGACACTATGTAGTTTAACCTTGAATAACCATGACCTACTTATCATTCTTACAAAGGAGAGCGAATATTTAGAGGATTTGACAAAGGATAGGTAAACAATCAACACAGTACTGACCAAATTCAATACTGAGTTAAAAGTATATTAGTTCATCAATAGTATGGCTGTTTTTCTTAAACTTGTTGCAGCACTAGGATCACCAAGTACCACGCAAAACCAATCCAGTTTTTGGAAATATTACCTTCCGAACATGAACTGCATTAAGTGACTCCCTTAGTGCACACTCCATTAGCGCGAAATCTTCCACTTTATTTATATTATCAGGATTGCTCCACCAGCTACGACGAAGCAAAGGAGTAAGGTTAATACAAGGTGAAAAATGACACGATTCATTAAGCCCATATGATCTAGCTACAACTGCATATTAATTCAAACACGGAAACAGCACATGTGGATTAAGATTACAGCACACAAAATATTATTACTTGGGCCTATAATCAAGCAAGTTGCTATTAATTGTGTATGGATGTCCAATAAAAATGTCCAAATGAGAAAACTTATTAGATATTCCTCAAAAAGTTCTTTCAGATACATTCAAAAAGCAAATGCAACATATGAATTTGTCATCTTCCTCAATGTAAATGGACAAAAGATAACACGCTTTATCTGCCCAGAGACCTAAATAAGATAAAAATACGCAATCGAAATATTGTAGCAGTTGATAAAGAGGTCAGTTTATGGAAACAACTGAACACCAAAAATATAAAAGGAAGAACAAAGGAATGCAGGACTATACTTGAGTCTCATTTCTACATCAGTAAGCCGAGATTGCAAAAGTTTCACTTGACTATGCAATTCCTGTCAGCACCAATTACAAAAAAAAGAAAATTGTCCACAAGACTTGAGCTAAGTCATACAATAATAGCAAAAATGGTGCTGATAGAGTAAGAAAGCACATACTTCAACTGATGGATCACTGCAGCAAAGAAACAAAGGAGAAAAAAGACAAGGTAAACGGTTAACATAATGCTTGGCAAATTTCAATAGGTATAAATTTGAAGGAAAAGATCCTCAAATTGATCAACAAAAATATATACCTAGCATCTAGAAACTCTGGCACGCCTATATCGTTGTCAAGCTTCTTAAAAGTCTTCCTCAATGTCTGGAGTGTAACCATTAGCATTGTTATTACTTTCACTTGGATTATGAAGTAACAACAAAGCATAGCAAGAGGAGAACACATAGTGGTGATGAATATCAGACTTACTTCAAGGCTCTCCAACTTCCTGTTTTAAGTTCAAGATTAGCAAAAACTGGTCATTTGGCTTCTAAATCTTACTCCTAGATAAGACTAATCCAAATAGACAGGACTATTTTTGTACCTTTTTGCCCTTTCTTGAGGAGTCAATTGAGCAAATTTTGCAATTATCTCATCAAAATTGCTGAAGACATGCAATAGAAATTAGAGACGGAATAATCCTCTAGTTCATCATCTATGATGAAGAACCTGTATAGTTATTGTGGGACGAATAAAAAGACAAAGGACTAAATCACCATACAAGACAAGTGTGATTAAAAAAACCTAGCAGTAGAAAATAGCCGGTAAAGCTTTGAAAGTAGATGTACTCTGTTATATGTGTTTACAAGAGCATCTTCTGGAGGAGTAAAGGCTCTTCATAGGAACAATGGTTGTCAATTGACACATCCAATTCAAGTTCATGATGGCATCTACACTATCTCATCCGAAACGTAAGCAGACATAAGTCTCAAACCAAAAGAGTGGCTTAGCACAGCGTCAAGGTATTTAAATAAAGTAACAGAAAAGAAAACAGTACCTTTGTCCGCCTTGAAATAGCGTTGGTTTTCCAGTTGGGGAAAACAAAAGAAGGATAATGTCTATATCACATAGCACAGATATCTCCTGGGCTTTCTTCAGGATTCCACATCTTCGTTTGCAATAAGTGGATTGCCTGTTACTATGACTCTCCAATCGCTTCACGCTTAGCCTTACCCTTCCCATCCTAAAACACAACTATAATATTCTTAACCAAATTACTATAACAGATAATTTGAACAATTTGTATTACATTTGCTAGTTAGTAAGAAAAAAAAAAGGAGGAGACAACTCACGTATCAAAAAGCAACGAGGTATTTGCTCAATAAGAAATGCAATAGTCGGTGTCAGAGACCTTGCATGAAAAATGTCTTTCCATTTATAGATACGCTCCCCACCTTTCAATTTGTATTTTTTACTCGACATAAAATCTCGAATATTCAAATTAAATTAAATTAAAAATAAAATACTTTCTCATCATACTTTTAAAAAATAAATATCGGAAATAAACGAAGAATGAGATAATCAGATAAACGAACCTATGGAAAAAACATATCGGCGCACTTTGGAACTTGGGATTACTTGTCGCTACACCGGTTATCAAGTTTTACGGAAAATTGAATTAGTGTTGCAAATGATCTGTCAAAAGAAGAAAGTAGTAATACAAAAGTAAATAATTATGCACAAGGAACAAGTGACAAGTGTGTGTGATGTTTTTTTTTTACATATGGTGTCATCGTTTAGTGAGTAATATAATGCTTATAATAAAAATTAAAATATTCGTTGTATTTAATTAAAGTAATAATGTGTAAATTAGATATATAGTATGTAGTCATATTTTCAGTTATGGCATAAGAGTTTGATTTGCATTGTATAAAATTTAATATATTAAATTATAGTATTTTTTATTAAAAAAATAATGTTAATTTTAAATTATTAAAAATAGATAGTAAAATAAAAAAAAGGGATAAATTAATGTTAGATATGTGATGCGTGAAATTAGTTATTATTAATTATTGATAACTAATTAGCATATTTTAAGGTATTTGAAATTTTTTACAGATAAGATATACCATAAAAGTCTCCATTTAGTTTTAATGAAATAAGTTATGATTTAAATCCTTAAATTTAAATCCTTAAAATACTCTAATCTTTATTTTCTTGCATTGTTTGTTTTATTCAAAATTGAGTATTATTTTGATATTTGAACATTGTTATATTTTTTTTGTTTTTTTAAAAAAAAATCTTAAAATTTGACGTTGAAAATGATTAGATTTGATTTGACGGAAAATTTTATGTCAATATTAATTAAACATGGTGGCAAGTGAAATTTATCAGGTTAGTGTTTAATTATAATTTGTTATGTTTTAAGTATAAATTGTTGGTTGTAATTATATTTGTTTTTTTTGTCATGTATTGAATGTTTATTTTTTTTGTTATTGCGTTGATATGATGTATTTTTTGTGATACAATTACGATGTGTATATGATACCATGAAAAATATTAAGTAATAGTAATTTTCTTTTGATTTGTAATTCAAATGAAGATTGGTGTGATGATTGATTTATGTAGAAAATACAAAAATTTACAAATTTTGAATCATTGTGCAGTTTTATTGTGAAAAAAAATATGAACAAAGTCTGACAATTTGTATTAATATTTTTTGAAAGTTATATGAAATGTGATTTTTTGGTAAAAGTCACTCCATATTATATTTAAAATGTCAGGTGATAAAATTTTGTATATTGATGAAGTATGAAAACTGTATTATTTATGTATGTAATGTATGAATATATTGTATGAAATATGTATGAAAGTCCATTTTTTGATTGTATATATCAGTGTTTGATTTGTTATATATATATATATATATATAAATTTTGTATAAAGTTTGGATTAATTGTGTATTAAATTTTTAATAAATTGTCTAAATTGTGTATGAAAGTGTTTTTTTGATTGTATGTATAAGTAAATTATATATTATTTTTGTATGAATTGATTTTGTATAAGTGATATGTTACATATATATGAATTGTGTATAAACGGTGAATTACTTGTGTATGAAATTATTTTTTTTGTTGTATATATCAGTGAAATATATAGAAAGTGTGTATGAATTGTGTCTAAAAATATGCCACCCGGTCAAAAAGATCAGCGGCAAGACCCAAGTTTGAACGCTGGAAGGGGTTCGCTGATGTGAAATTCTAGAGGACAAAAAACACATGCAAAAGATGCCATCAAGCTGGAAACAATAGGAAGACATGCTCAAATTATCCTTTACAAAAACAATGATTTTCTACTGTTACATCTGTGTTTTTGAGTATTTAAATTGTTAAATCGTATGTTTTATTTTTTATATTGAATCATATTTTTTTTTATACAATGTTCATACATTGTATATACAACTGTTCATATGTTAACATTTGTTACCATTAATAAATCATATAATATTCATATAATATGCATATAGTTATTGCATATTGAATGAGGACTATATACAAAATTTATACATTTATACAAGCAATATTTGCATATAAAATAATGTATGTTTATGTTCTACATATCAAAGTATAATATGATATAATTCATACATTTTTCATACAGTATTTATACCAGTAATATAAGTAACATTTGTTTCTGTTTTGTATTTGAAAGTATACAGTTATCATACAGAATTCATACAACAAAAATTTAATGCGTATTGAATAAGTAATTTACGCAAAAGTCATACACATTTATTAAGGTATAATTATATATTTATTCATATTCTCATATTGAATCATATGTCAATACCATTTCATATATTTTTCATACATTATGCATATAAAAATTTAACATTACATATTTAAAAGTGAAATTTATACAAATATCATACACATTTAAAAATTATAAATATATAGTGAAGCAGACTGTCATTTATATAATTTTTTTTAAAAAATAGTATATATATAACATTTGTCTATGTTCTATATATCAAATTATAATATGACATTCATAATTCATATAATGTTCATACATGATTCATACAGTGTTCCTATATTTTCTTGTTGCGTTCAAAATTTATACAAAGTGAGACAGATTTAATAATTAGTAATATTCATTGATAATTTATATAAAACCATCAAGTATTCATAATAAAAACTGGAAAATTACATAAATAGTTCATAAGTTAAAAAAACATGTCATTCAAAAAAATGTACAATGTGCGATGAAAATTTCTACTTTCTGTTACGAAATTTTGAAGTAGGATAATTGGTGGTGTCCATAACTTGTTCTTTATGAGTTCGAGGTCCACCCTTCTTTCAAGATTCATCTACGGATTACTTTTCTTTCTCTTTTCTCTTCTTCTCGATTTCCTTTGGCTCTTTGTTTTGTTTTTTTTTCATTTTGATTTTTCTGTTCTAGATTTTTCTTTTGTAGATGAAGGTTGAGTTTGTATTTGAGACAAAATGTTGAAAGATGGAGCATGAAATTCCTCAGATCTTGCTTCATCGTTCAACCTTCTACTTTTACGCGGGGTTTCATTGCCTCTCTTCGATATTATACAGATTTTTGAGTGCAAATTTGAAAGATTATTGACCAAAACAGTAGATTTTGGTGAAGAAGAATGTTAATGTTGTAGATTTTTCAGCAAAACAGCTAATGTTGGTGAAGATTAATGTTAGGCGTGCGAAATAAAGAAGATTTGGTGAGGATTTAGGGAAGAACAACATATTTGGGGAAGATGAATTTTTTTTTTATAAATATAGCGTGTGACGGTTTTAAAAAAAACTGGTATTGGTTTAGATAGTGGTGGATAGTTATTATAGAATGATAAAATCCCTAAGTATTTTGTAATTTTTTTAAAAGGTAACTATATAATGTTTAATTTAATTTATAATAGTTAAAGAGTTTTGTTTAAAAAAGGTAACTTAAAAAAAATAATATAATCAAATAATTTGGTTTAAAAAAGATAATTTAAAAAATTAATTTATTTAAATAGATTGATTTAAAAAAGGTAACTGAGTAATAAATGTAATTATTTAAATAAATAAATTATTATTTAAATAATTAATGAGAATAATATATTTTTTCTTTATATGGTATAACTTGATAATAATATGCTTTAAGTAGTTTATTATCAAAAAGTATGTTTATAACTTGATATTTATCATCTTAAAAGTGAGTGGAGTATTATTTTTATTTTTTAAAATTAGGTGAATTATTTAGCCTTTTATCAATCTTCCCAGTTCTTTAGAAGCAATCTGGTATCATTCACTAATTTGACATCTCCAATGGTTTTCACTCCATGTTTCTCCACATATATAGCAAAATTGAGATCCACACCTAAATCCATAATATTGATTTGTTAAGTTAATACTATTAACTTATAAACAAATTAAACCTCTCACTACCATAAAAAAATTAACTAACCAGCAGGTTATGTGTATACAACCATCAGCTTTCTGCACAATATGTTTGCAGTGAGGGCATTTCATCCATTTTGAGCTGCTAGCAAGTTCCTCAACTTTTAAATCATCTTCTCTGTTTTTTTCATCATTTTGAAACTTGTCACAATCAAGTCCAGTATGCCAAGGGACGCCACACGCCGCGCATAGCAGCCTGTGGCATACAGGACATATACACTCAATGATGCCTTGATCATGATCATAAATCAGCAGCTCTGAACAATCTTTGTAAGGACAGTAAAACTTTTCGCACTCAAGAAGAGAAGACTCACTCAATCCCCCTTGCCATTTTTCGAATACATTTTCAGGGATGATGGATTTACAATAAACAGGTTCAATTGTCGCGCAACATTTCAAACCAGGGCAAGTTACTGAGAAAATATGGTCTTGAATCATGAACTGGACATATTGCGCTATGCAATCAGTACAGAATGAGTGACGAGAACAATTTTCGAGTTTGAACATTTCATTTGTAGCTTTTGTCTCCATACAAATTTCACAAAAACCTTGGGATGATTCAGGGGATTCTTCGATTTGTGTGGTTGACATGTGAAGATTGAAGATTTCTAAAGAGGCTGCAAGAACCTCTTGGTATTGAAGTTCCTCAGCGCACTCGTTGTCTGATAGTATGGGAGCGCTAAACTCATCGTTTTCATTGAACACATTTGATATTATGTCTGCCATTGAATTGATCAGTGGTTGAAGTAATTTAGAAGAATTCTTGGAGAACTTTGCAGGTTTGTGATACTACTTGATTTGATTTTGATGTACTGCAAAGGGGTTTTATAGTGATTAGTGTCCTATTATTGGATAACAATACGAATAATTTAAAAAGACAAATTCAGTTGTCTTAATTAGGAAGTTACTCAGAAAATACTTAAAAGAAATATTATACAATTTGATGTGACACAAGCAATTTGCTAAGCAGTTGACGTTTGCCACTTTGGCAATTTCGTAATGCTAGTGACATGTTTCTAGCAGGGTCCAAGAAATTGTGATTGTAAAAGATTTAACAGATGACAAGGAACTTCCACACTTTGACAAAGTCTGAGTTAACTTACCCCTTGTTTGTATGGTTGTTATCTTGATCTTCTTACTATTATATTGTTAGTTTAAATACGATATTCTTTTTGTTTCAATTTCAGTAATATATTTTAAATTTTGAAAGTCAAATAAATTTATTTTTAATCATAAATTTTTCATTTATCTTTTAAATATTTATAATATATTTTACATAGTTTACAAACATTTCATTTCATTTCAAAAAAATTGAAGATTTCATTGAGCAATTTTTCGATTAAACTTAAATCTTCACCCCCTCAGCACCTCCGAAGCTCGACTCATCAGTCCACAAGATTTAGCTAACTTATATATGAAATCTAGGATAATATAATTTTGCTTAATTATCAAATATTAAAAAGTAAATAATAAATTCATTTATTTAAAAAAGTATTTTCCTTCGTACCAAACAACACTTAACAATTCGTTTGTCTAACATCGTCGTCACGTACACAGTTTACTTGCTCATTTTAGTTGCCAAAAGAATCTTAAGACAAACAGAGCTTAGAGGGTTCAAATTTGCTTCTGCAGACAGTTTTTTAGAATTTTCCAATCAAATGTCAAATTATGTCTTTTTCAGCACTGTAGCAACTTCACATCCTCAAGTAACAAAATTTGTCTGCATACATTTAATGTTTATCTTTAGGCGGTGGAAAAGTGATTAGCTTGTTAGCGGAGTCTTCACTTACTAATTTTATTTTTATATTGGCTCTCACTCAGCGTCTATATACACTTTGGACTTGACTTGTTATAACACGAATCGAAAAGTCCATTTTGGCTAAAATATTTCCAACTAAATAACCAAAGGGTGTGTGATGCGATGAATATAATGTTATTTCAATCTTAATCAAAATATCTAACACATGAGATTGAAATAAAAATCGAATTCCAATGCAAAGACCCCCGGTGTCTGTTTTGTTAATTTTATTATGGTTACATGACAATATTATTACTGGATTTACACCTGATACTTAATAGAAGTAGGGTATAAAAATTAGAGAATAAAAAACTCAGTCTAACGCTACAGGATCCCGAAAGCTCTGTTCCATGAGCTTCAAAAATTCAGAAAATTCAATTTTTCCATCTCTGTTTTCATCAAAGGCCATAATCATCTTCTTGCAATGCTCCATCGAAAATTCGGATAAACCCATTCTCCAAATAAGTTTCATTAACTCACTTGCATCAATATATCCATCTCCATTTTCATCAAACACATCAAAAGCTTCTTTAATTTCCTCAAAACTAGGTTCTACTTCATCAAATAAACTCGAAACCTCTGCATACTCTGTTTCATTCTCATTTAAATTGCATAAACCCATTAGTTTATCCTCAACAATTTCTTCCTTGTTATCGCAATTTTCATAATCATGTCCACAATTTTTAGCATCGGGAGGATTAGTATCATGATCAACTCGAGTCAACGCGTTTCGGAGAATGATGAAGAACCAACCTATTGCTCGGATTGATAAAGAAAAACAATAAGATAAATCTTGAAATGTGCTTAGGATGCTGAGAATTGTACATCTTAATATGATACAAAAAAATTGATTCAGGTCATCAGCTATTTTTTTGCCCAATAATGAAGCACTAATTGCTGATATTGAAAAAATGTTCTCCATTTTGCTAACTTCTCTTTTTTCTTGATTTTTGTATGGAATTAATATTAAATCATGGGATGGTTGTAGAAACAAATTTTGGTACGTCTATATAGAGAGACATTAAACAAGTCAAGTCTTTGTGGAAATTTTTTAGGAAAAAACGGTGAAAACGAAATCTACTTTCCTATCATTATATAAAAATTTTTTTTAAAAAGTCGTCATTACAAGGTTGGATCCAAGGAGGGTGGTCACACGTAGTTCATAAAAAATTACGCGATATATATAAGAGAAGATTTTAAAATATTAGGTAAAAAATTGACTTGAATACAAAATTTATTTTAAGGTTTTGAAATTGAAATTATAAATACGGTATATCTATTTTATGAAAGTGAAAATTCTAAATTTGTTACGTTATTTTATGAAAGTGAAAATTGTTACGAATTATTATTATTGTTGTTAATGATTCCTATTATATTGGAGTGAATAGTAAAAGTCGGTCAAGTGATTTCCTGGTAATTTCATTAACAATAATTGTAACAGCAATATGTTAGACGTACTATGGAAGTGTGTTTACACATTTTAGGTTTTTATTTAAGAAATGTCGACAGAATTGAATTACATAATGTATTGTGGTTATTATTCTAATCTAAAGTTGGTAATACTACTCTTTCCTAATTTTTCCACAGAAAATATGAGAGTGAGATATGAAATAAAATAACTATGTTGGATGACTTATTCTGAAGATAATTAATAACTATGTGACATAATAAATATGATGTCAAGTTCTTTGAAAATCCACAATATTTGAAGTTTTTAGACTTGCACATATCCGCATGTGGATTAAAAAAAAAAAACACTTTTTCCTGAAAATTTAGAAGGGTTTTGAGTTTTGACTGTAATATTTTTAATTACGGTTTCCTCCTCCTTTTTTCTTTGCTGAAATAATTATTTTGGGGAACTTGAGTGTGTTAAAGGGTAAATTTTAAATTTATAAAATTCAATTCAATTGTTTTGAATGAAGAGTAATAACTTACGGAGTGCAAAACCATAACATTACCAAAAAAGAACTCCCTCGGTTCTTTTTACATGTTCAATTTTAAATTTTTTTATTTGTTATTTTCGACAAATTAGGATAAGACAATATTTTTCACTTATTACATTCTCATGTTATTTAAAAAAATGAATATTTTTAATAGAAGTCTCTTTAACAAGTAAATTAATTTTGAAATTTTATCAATTAATATAAGTAAAATAATAAATTTATAAGTCAATTTTTTTAAAAAATAGATCTATCAAGTCAATTAATTTTGAATATCGTTAAATCTTGAAACGACTTACAAGATTACTAAATTATTATTGTGATTTTTAAAATTATTATGCTATGCATTTTATTTATAGCTATCTTGTATTTAAATTATTATGTTATGTATTATATTTTAAATTAAAATTTTTATCTTATCATTTAAATTTTGTGCATTCTTCATAGTGAAAATTAATAAAGCATCAAATTGTATGACAAATTAAAATAAAATATTTTTAAAAATGTTATATTAAATTTAGAAAGAATTGCATATATTAAAGATTTAATTAATAGTCTTATATAATAAATAATATATTAATTACAAAAAATATAAATAATAATATAATATTTAAAAAAGTGAAATAGAAAATATGAATAGTAGTTTTCCAAAATATAGAGTGATTGAAGAGGATATTCTCTATTTTACTCTCCAAATATAAAAAATAAAAAATAAAATAAAACAGGATTTGAGATGGTCTAAATAGAGATTTTTTTTTTTATCTCCACTCACTTTTACCTTCACTATACTAAAAATATTTCTTTTCATTTTTATTTATCTATTTTAAGAAAGATAATTTATTTTTCATGTTTTAATGTTAATGACTTACTTATTCAAAATAATTCTCAATGTTAGACTAAAAGTTATACACTAATTAAGACAATCATGAGTGTTCAAAGTAATGATAGAGAAAGTATTAATAAAAAAGTTCATTGATTTATCATAATTCAGAGATTTAAGATTTAAGTCTTCTTAGTATATATTTATCTTTATTAGAGAGTCATTTATCTTTAATGTAAACTTCTCAAACACAGATTAAAAATTTCACCAAACTTTAATATAAATACAAATAAAAAAAAACACTCATTAATCAAAGAAGAAAAAAATAATACTTTCACTTTCTGACAAAGTGCACCAACTAACAAAAGTCGAGTACTATTTGTATTCAAATTCTATGAAATTTCATAGAAAATTAATGCAAACAAATTCTGATCTCTCGTGATACGCGTGAGCGTGCCGGCCACCCACACACACATAAATGTTTTCTTTTTGTGAATAAAATAAGGAAAAATAATTTAAATACACAACTATAATTTTTATATTCTTCAATTTTCTTATTTTTTTTTAAATATTACATAATTTATTTTTTTTATTTTAGTGTAAGTTTTTAGATACATTATATTCTCTCTCTTATAATACACATTTACCCATTTTAATGGCTATTTTTTCTCCATTAAAACACTCAACCTCTTAAATCAGTTTTTTAATTTTAAATTCGGAAAAATGCCTAAAATACCCTTAAAGTATTGAAAATAGTACAAAATTACCCTCCATCCACCTATTGGCTCCAAAATACTCTTCCCACACACCTATTGGGTCCAAAATATCCTTGTCATCCACCTTTTGGTTCAAAGTTGACCACTTATTTAACGGTTTTATATTTAAACTATTTAAATATTTTTTAAAATACGTGGCTCTCAACTATTTAATATAATTCAACTTACTAGTATAATTTATAAAGCAATCCACTACCCACCCATTACCAATTAAATCCCTCTAAATTAATGAACCCGTCACATTATTAATGCAAGCTACTGCCAATTGAGTGTTTTTTTAAAAACTATAGAAGTAAATTATCGTACATTCAAGTGGTTAAATAAAAATCACCGATAAACTTAAAAGTCTGACTATATTCATTTTAATTATTCTTACCTCTCAATTATGTGATGTTACTTCATAGGTAACTTTTTTTCAAAATAATATATTAAAAGTTTTAAAACAAATCGTTGATATTTATAAAATTATATTTAAAAAAGTGAGTGAATTAATTCGGGATGTACTACTTCTTTACCTTTAATCATAAATTTCTAATTCAATTTTGAAAGAAAGTGTCCTCATAAATAAGCGGCTCAACCTAAATTTAATTGGGGCTTCGATTCGGACTCGAATATTTTTTAATGTTATTTTGAGGAATCTATAATTTCATCGTGTTTTAGTAGTGTTTATGACGATTTTGATATTATAATTGGATTATTAATTGGGCGAGATTTAGTTAGTAATGAGTGGGTAGTGGGTTGATTTATAAATTATATTAATAAATTAAAATTATAACCAATAGTTGAGAGCCAAGTATTTTAAAAAATATTTAAAGAGTTTAATTTTAAAACAATTTAAAAAGTGATCAATTTTGAACTCAAAGGTGGATGACAAGGGTATTTTGGAGCCAATAGGTGGATGACAAGGGTATTTTGGAGCCAATAGGTGGATGACAAGGGTATTTTGGAGCCAATAGGTGGGTCAAAAGGGCATTTTGGAGCCAATAGGTGGATGAAGGATAATTTTGTACCATTTTCAATACTTTAAGGGTATTTTAGGCCTTTGTCCGTTTTAAATTTTATCTATTTAAACACTCAACCTTTTAAT